TTAAAATAATTACTGAAAATTAAAAATTTATATGTTCGTTACATAAAAATAAAGTTAATAAATAAAAATGTAGCTGAAATGATGCTTTTCATTAGAAAATAAGGAAATTTTTGCTTCATATGAATGACTATTTTACCAAACGATTTAACGTTTTAAGACCTTAAATGAAAACATTATACATATACATTAATACTGAATCAATATAATGTTTAATCACGATTTAGTTGAACGAAATTGAGTAAAACTTATGATGCGCTATTGCAATAATAAATTCACCATAAATAATAATTAGATACTATAATTGCTCGAATTCATACTCGAGAATGATACACTTCAACTCATGGAAAATAATAATTGGAAAATACTTTTTTTTTCTTCAAATTCATAGAAAGGAATGATATAAATTCACAGGAAACAACAATTGGATATTATTAAATGTTGCTTACTGAATTTATGCACGGGAATAATATAAATTCATGTTTAATAATTGGATACTGATGAGGATCAAACTTATAAGCTTGAATGGAATAAATAAATTCACGGGAATGGAATAAATAAATTCACAGGAATGAATAGAAATTCCACAAATATAAATTAATAATACAATCTAAGTTTTAAAATTAAAAATGTATGTTAATTTGGAAAAATAAATAACGCGAAATATTTCATTTTTAATTACAAGACGAGAAATATTATGTTTTCGATGAGAAATATTTTAGCTTGAGATTTAATAAAGATTTCAAAAAAAAAATTTGCCAGATAGCAATAACAAAGACAGCTAAATAGATAGGAAGAAACTATCATTATGAGACAAAAAGACGAAAGGCATGAATTGCGACTTATGAAAACATTAAAATGAACTGCAATGAAAACTTTTTCAGTACTTGTGTAAACAAATGCTTGAAAGAAAAGAAAGAGGAATTCTCGTTTGATCAGCAAAAGGAACATTACGAACAAAATAATGAATACAACATCAGCTTCTAGATTCCAAAATCAAGCAAACGTGAGTACAAATTACAATCGGGAAGATTCGTCAGAGGCATCATGCGTGACGAACAATAACGGTCGTAAAATAGATAATCGTGCAGCCGAAAATTCGAAATCACGGAAAATGACTAAGTGATCATGCCAAATAGAATAAAGTCGTGGAATTCAGCTGTTTCTGGAACCGAATTGGTGTAATCTTTACCAGAGCGAATAGAAATGGAAAATACCAACGGAATGAAAATGCACCAAAACTTTAATTTCTGATAATAACTAAGTATACAAAAAAGTCACTTTTTTAAATAATAAGAAAAAAGTGATATCAGTAATAATATTTACGTTGAGCCGTACCATTACGGCAAGCGTACTAAGACGTGAAATTTATCCCTGTTTTTGCAAACCATGTCGAATCACCAAGTTAAAAGAGTACAATGATATGGTTAAACTTAGCAACATATTAAGGTTACAGTAAATGTGCACAACATGGTTATATACTGTAACACGCTCCACATTTTCTTAAGAATAGAAATCACAGCGCGATGAAAATGATGAGGTTTAATTAATGGAAATCAATATTTTCCAAAAGAAGACTATACATAGTAATTAAAAATCTGTATATGAATCTAGAAGTCAGCTTTTTGAAATTCATTGGATATTAATAGAATTTATCCATGAAATTCATTGCGAATAAGTACTCATACTGCATACACTGTGAAAAATCAGTACTTTTAAGCTAAATAAGAACGAAAATTCAAAAATCAATAGGTATCAGTAAATGTTATAAAATTCAATGTACATAAGTCTAAATCAAAGCGATAAATAATGAAGATCATTGTAGTTAATTGTGGAATGTTATTATTTTTAATCACACCGGCAAAGATACGATTTAATTGAGAAAATTCAGCATTCTTCAAAACGTAAGAGAAAAAAAACGGATTGTAACAGACGAATGAATATAAGTTCAAGTATCGATAAGTTCGAGCAGTTTTGCGTTTCACAGTGCAGGCGAAAACTACTACACAATCATGCAGATAGGATACAATAATCAATTTGAACACCTAGAATCAATACCAGATCAGATAAAATTACGAATTCTTAAAACTGTTTCAAAAGCCACAACGCTGAAATGGACTTTCATCATGAGTAAATGAACAAATAAATATGAATATTTGATTTTTCAAGACAAGAAAAATCTAAAAAAACGTTGGAACAGTATAATTATTCATTAATAAATAGGTGCTTAGTACAATGAAGCATTTTATCCAAAATTTCAAACGACAAAAAAGAGAAAAAAATTGTTGCAAAATAATAATTAAAATTAAATCATAAAATTCCCCCGGATTAGAAAATAAGCAGGCGCAAAAGATGTTAAAAACAGGGAATTGCAACTTATTAAACAAAATATCGGTAATATGAAGTACGTTTTTCGCCTAGATTATCTCTTTACGTAGATTCAAATAAATTATCCAAATAGATCATTAATTAATTAAATTTAAGTAATGAAACTAGAAATATCTTTTCTTAAAAAAATTATTCATAACTTAATCAAAATAAATCAAAATTAAAAAAAAAAATGTCGAATAATAACAGTTAAAATACTTAATACGATGTATATTGACATCGTGAAACAGTTACGATATAAAATAAGTGTTAGAAAGCTACTGGGATAGAAATGTAGAGAATTAAAAAGATTTAAAAAAATATAACTTAAAAATATAGCAATAAATGAGTAGTAATGGTGAAAATAATAATTTGTAGTAAACCACGATGAATAATGATTTCACGTGAATCGATTAAATTGCAAGATAAGTAGTTAGAAACGAATTCCACGCATGAGTACGTAATAATACAACGGCAAATTCTAGGAGAAGTGCAGTCAAGTGTAAAAAGAATTGTTTCATACAACGAAAGTTCCATTTTATCATGAATTGAAGAAAAATAAATAGCTAGGTTAAATTATAATATACTTGAAACTTAATACAAAGTCTAACAATATTCGAAACACGAAATGAAACGATTATTCCTGAAAATGCTACAATGCAATATAGAGGTAACAGCATTTCAATGAACTTGATACAAAGTAGCAAAATGCTGAACACGTTAATACTAATCGATTGTAGATAGTTTCAATAAAAAATGTAAACTTATAAAAAATACGCTTAGCAATCGTTTTAGAAGTAATATTAGTACAAATAAGCGATAAAGTTATCGAAAAATAAGCTAATGAAACCAAACGTATATGAATAGTTGGAGATTTTAAATTTTGTTTTCCACTAATTGATATATTCAATGAATATTCATTATGAATTCAGCGATTTTTTGTTGTCATATTCATAATAAGTAAGAATTTGAAACGAAAAAAAGAACTTTTAGTTGGACAAAACTAATTAAAAAATCGTGTATCTTTTTTAAAACCAATTGTATTAAAATGATGAAGACATTTTTTGACAGTTTTCAACGCATTCGATTCAAGTTCATACCATTCTTCAAAAATAATATAAATAATATCAAAATATAAAGTATCACTACGAGAAGCGTTAAAGTAGAACGTTAAAAATTAACATGTGTGTTAATTTTTTTAAAAAAAGAACCGTATCATAATATAATGATTTCTTTTATATTTATAAGCAGTTTTTCACAAACGCAATCTTGTTTAGTAAAAAAAAAATTATAAAAAACTGTGTAGCAAAAGCTAAAGCAATAAAAATGTATAAAATTCTTTCGAAAGATTTATCAAACAAATTTGCTAAATGAGATATTACCTCCATTTTACAGCACTTGCATGCGAACAAAAGATTCACAAAAAAATAAAAACGATAATTCGGACAAAAGTTGAATCTTTAAATCTAGTAAAACGCACATAAAAAAGTGAACATTCGAATGTAGAATTAAAATTTGTCATAAAAAGTCACAAAAACTAATTATGAAATGCTGATTAAAAGAAAGTTTCACTGAAGGGTGAAAATCATTTAACATAAAATTTAAAAAAACTGTTTAAGTGCATTTTGGATATAATCGAGTTCAGCAAACTCAAAGAAAAAAATCCAACTGTGTTTTCCAGATAAAAAAGATACATTTTATCTCGGAATAAATGAAAAAAATTGAGATAAGTAGATCAACAAAACGTTTTATGAAATGCTCAGATATAAGCTGATAAGAGAAGAAATAAAAAACTAAGTCGGAAAGAAAAAAAATTGGAGAACCAGATTGCGTTCACTAAGTACTCAATGAGAGAATATCTTAGTTAGAAATTCTATGAATAACTTTTAATTCATTACAACTTGATATCGGAATATAATTTATAATTATACGATATATATCTCATGGATGCGTATAGGAGTATAAAACTTTTCCGTACGTGTTAGATAAATTAGATTAGTCTAACTTGTAACCTCGAAATAAAAGACGATAGATAAGTGAAATTAAATATCGCTGTCGTACAGCTAAGACCAAAGTACTCGTCGACAGATTATCAACCGACCATTGGCGTTAAAAATCCAATAATCAATGTGGCATCTAGTTTCTAAGTCACGATTAGCGAAGAAGAGGAAACAGCAATGAAAATGAATTCCTAACACAAAAGAAACCAAGCGAATATTTATAACTAAATCAAGCAAAACAAAATCTAAATTTAATGTAATTAAATCGCTATCCCAAAAGGAATGATTTTTTAATTAACTGAAAATGTTGCTTTTATGATTATTCCCATTTGTTTAAGGACGATTATTTTTCCAAACACATTTTTATATCGCTTGCTTGCCTTAAAATCCCGCAGGAATACGTTTTAGAACACTAATTATTTTTTATTTGTTCTAAATTATACGGAAATCTCACTTGTTTGCAAACGACTATTTTCTTTAAAATTTTTGTAACAAATAAATATCGTTTGCTTACGCAGAAACGTGTTTTAGAAAACGATATCAATATTTTTTCTTTATTTATTCTAAAATATCCAGTGATCTACTTCGCAGACGATTTTATTTTCATTTCTGAAAAAAAAAATATCGTTTGCTTACCTTGACATGGTAGATTTCACTTTCATTCAAAGACTGTGTGCGAAGTTTGTGCGTTAAATATCTGAGCATCTCAAAGAAAACCAAAATCACAGTTTTTGTTAACCACCGGTCAAATACCTCAGTGGTTCTAAAGTATGAAGAAAGCACCTTTTCTGTTGCAGGTATAACATTAAAGGATTCCAGCTGGTACCACCACAATAACAGCAACAGCTCCCAGAACCATCTCGGAAAAGCAGTTCGAGAATTCAGTTTGGTGAAAATAGTGAAGTGTCGCAAAGAAGCCTGCTACATATAGATATTTACAAGTGAAGAGCGGCTTATTGCGGACCGGAGTAGATACTGCTCCTTACACGTCCGTGTTTCTCGTCCATCTGAAGTACAGAGGGGAAAATTTCTACGCTGCTCCGTGAGAGGCGAGGGACTACTCGACCGGCGTGTGACGTCACAAACGGAAGCCGTGGCGGACTATTCCACTACTACGAGAGGAGTTGGGTCTCCTCCATTTACTTTTCAATGGCAACGTTTCAAGGGGATATATTTGACTCGAATTCTGGTGACACTTTTTTTTTTCTTCGAGAGATGTTCTATAAATCTAATGGAATATTTCTTGCTAGTCCTACTGAAAGAATGAATGCTAAGAGAGTGGTTAAGTGTAAATAATCATGTTAAAATTTAACAGTGAAGTCTTTAACAGCAAAATTTTATTATAATCTTTAACAGAAAAATTTATCAGTAATTTTTTTCATGCAACTTCTGATTATAAATTAATTCAATTAATATGGTTTTAATTTTTTTTTCCAAAAAAAAAAAATAAATAAAAATTATACATATAAGCCATATATTTGTGCCGGTCGTGGAACAAATTGCTATAAATAAATAAACAAAAATCGATAAATAAGAATGAATTAAAAATTTAAAATAAATGGAAGTAAACAAATGAAAACAAACAAGCAGGGAACGTTTCCGTACTGTACCGAAATACCTTATTTGACATTAATGAAAATTCTTTTGTATAGCATTGAAATGATCGTCTGCTTTATGAGCCTACTCACACGTACTAATTACATTATTTGTTTCTACAAGAATAAGGAAAGTAAGCACAAGTAACTGATTCAAAAGATCGTTTTGGTGCTGTTCAGCAGTACCTTCGCCTTGGCTTTTATTCTAATTCTTTTGCATAGCTGTAAAGCATCGAAACGAACATCTCCTTTATATGAACTTATTCATTTATTCTTAGTATAATGTTTCTTAATTTATTATGCAAGACATAACCATATTTTTTTTAATAATTATTACTAAGATCATAGCTTAACAATTCAGTAAAAAGTTAAATTATGCCAGATTTAAGTGGGTTTTTTTAATAAATAAATACTATTTTGTAAAATCGGTTGATGTGTTTACTAGTTTGTAATAAGTTACGTTTTAAGTAAACGGAAGTAAAATAATTGATATAAAACCTAGAGGTCGAAAATATTTTTTAAGTTTGAAAGCAATATTTTTTTTTAACAAAAAAATTGCACCTGTACATAAATAATGTAATTATGACTTTTAATGTGAACACGACTGTAGAATTATTATGTATTACTCTATAAAGAAACATTTAATTCTAAAAAACGCAGGATTATTTATACAGTGTGCTCTAATGTTAATACACAACTACAATAACAAATGCACAACAGAATTTTTTGTTGCTCTGTTTTTAAATATGTTTGAGTAGATGCATTGAAAATAAACACAAAAAATTAACGTCAACTTAAAATCTCATACAGCGAATTATATAATTGATTTAATACAATGGTTTGTCAAACTACTCAAATTTTCTGTAAATATTTTTTTTTAAAATTTTGATTGCATGTTAGGGTACATTCGATTCAGTTTTCTAAGTGTTAGCTAAAAACTGAAGTGCTTTAAAAAAAACGTGTTAAGTGACGTTGAAAATCATTCAAATTTCCAGGTTTAACGACTTTCCGATTGAGAATATGTTTAGTGATGTTTAAAAACTCTCGAATTTCTAGGTTTAACAACAAGTTGCTTTAGAAAATGTCAAGTAATTTTTGAAGATACTCTCATTTCCATGTTTAACAACGTGCCGATTGAGAACATGTAAAGTGACATTTGAAAATATTTAAATTTTCCTGTTTAACAACACGTCGTTTAAAAACAAGCTAAGCGATATTTGAAAGCATTCAAATATCAAGGTTTAGCAACGTGCTGTTTGAAAACATGATAAGCGTCACTCAAATTTTTAAGTTTTAGATCGTTTGGGAGCCAACAAGCGACATAATTAAGAAAAGCATGCCAAAGACAACTGCAAAAATAAGACATTAACAAACTTTTCCAAGAATTTTTTTTTAAAAAAAATGGTTTTTATCGAAACAGTCCCAAAGAAAAGAAACAGAAATACAATAAAATGAAAAATCATAAAAAAATCATTTTTTTATTAGCCACTAAATATCGACGCCACCTCTCCACTTTATAAAAATGTTCCGTCGAAAACATTCGATCCTCAAAATCGTCTGAGTTTTCTTATCGAAGAAAGCGACTGTATCATGGATTAGTTAGTCGAAAAAGAGAAACATTAACTAGTTATAAGAGGCTTTCCTCGTGAGAGAGTAAGGAATGAAGGAAGGTCGAAATGTAGCAATGACGTTTGCATTAGAGGATAGAGGAAGATGGGGAGGAGTTGGCAGGATGCCAAAAAGAGGGATGGAGGATGAGTGCGTACATAGCAGGACAGTCAGACTGCTTGGAGGCAGAGAAGTTCGAGGATATACCGCACGGAGGTAACGGAGAATGAACCCGAGCGGTCGGCATATTCTCTTGTGGGAAGTTCTTTTTTTGTTATTTCGTTTGCTCGAGCCGCCCGAATGAATATTTTTGATGGTGTTGATTTAAAATAAATTGCTTTAACGGACTGTTAAGAAAAATAAGACGATGTTTTAACTACTCGAAAATTTATCGGATTTTATAATAAAAATCTTTTATTAATATAATTGAAAAATAGTAATAAATTTAAAGTTCTCAGTTTTTTTTAATATTATTATTTATTTAGAATATGCATTTTAATGATTAAAATATTCATAAGTGTACTTAAAACACTGCAAAACATATTTAAGCAGTAAATAACTAATAAAAACTTTAAATAAATAAGTGAGCAATACAACTCAAAGAAAAAATAAGTTTTTTTTTTTACTTTAGTTCCATTCTAAAGCATTCGTTTGTATTTAAATATCACGAAAAATATAATTTTGTAATTCGCTTCTTTGAATGTTTCTATATTAAAACAAGTATGCCTTAGATGTGTGTGTTTTCAATAAAAATGATGAATGCATGGAATTAAAATTAATTATGAAGATGCAAAATTATTTAATAAAAATTTAAAGTAAGAGCTAACTAAAACTCACTTTGTTAGCTGACAGTTTAAACATGATTGGATTTTGAAAATTTTATAAATTTTAATTAGAATTTTTTAATACTTCATATTACAAGAACAGTATCTTTTTAAATTAAGTTAAAGGATGAATTATAACTTAAGGATATGCCTAATTTTTATTATTCGTGATACCGTAAAATAGTGACACGGATTAATATAGTTACACGGAGTAATCAACGATATTACTATTGTTTTTTATAAAAGTATGAGTTTTGGTTTATCATTTTCAAACATAAATCAATTCATTTCAATAACTTTTTGTGATATTTATAAACATTTTGTTTAACAAATTAAAATTTTAAAAAACTTATTAAATTTTAATTTTAAAAATTTTTCTTAAAGTTATTAAAACATTTTTACATTCAATTGATTTATATTTATAAAAAATGAGAGTAAGCAAATTTAATGATTTAAATGCTTTGAATTTAATACGTGACTTTAATGCTTTGACAAAATGTTTCACCACACAAAAGAAGAAAAAAATTAATCGATTACTTTCCGAGTGATGGTGCCACTGTAGAAAGGTGATCAAATAAACAGCCACTGAAACTTTGTATTTTCTCAAAAATAATGTATCATTATATAACAGTTTTTATAAAGGTAACGCATAACCGCCTTTCTTCCCAGGTTTTTTTTTTTTCATTTTTTTAATTTATAAAATTGAGAATTATATATATATATATATATATA